ATCGGGTTGATGGAGCAATTTCAGCTTTGGATAAACTTTGAGAAGCTAGGCGTATAAATTTGTGTTCAAACCTCATCATATTTTGCAAATTGGGTGTTTTTTTATGTAACCCGTACCCGAAAGCAGTTATATTTTATTGTGTCTTCCTTTGGTAATATTTTGAAAATTAGGACAGCATGTCTTTCTTCTGTTCTGGCACAACTAATCCCACAGAATCATATTTTTAGGGGCATTTACAATCATATCATGCTACACTCATCAATACTCTTAGATGTTCTAAATTATTAATTATTTTTCTTTGTGCATTTCTTATCCACTAAAGTTTGTTTGCATGTAATTTATTTAGATTTTTTGTAAAGCTATGGAGTAAGACATTGCTGGGAGTTTGGATTCTGGTGAGGCACTCTAGGATGGTTTTAACTTTTAAGCAACCATTATTGTCGTTACCATGGAAACATGCCCTCTTTAAAATGCAATTAATATTGGATGCAGTTCAATGGGTATGTTTTGTAAACCTGTTAACATTAAATGCAATGAATTTGAGGCTGATTTAGAAACCTGTAGACATTAACTGCAATGAATATTTATACTCAAAATCTGAGGAGTTTTGTAGGTTTTTATGAGAGAATTTATGACATGGGAGTGGCTTTGCCTCATGTTGTTGCAACTTCTACCATTGGGGAAGTCTATGATTGCAAGGGTAAAACCTGAACTTCTATCTTCTAGCACCTAAACTTTCATACATAAATACATAGACATTTGCTCAACTCATTCAGTTGACCAGAGGAAATCATGCTCTCCTAAGTTGTTTGGTGACAAGAATAAAACAAGATTTATAACTTTCTTATTAAGCTACTCAAAAGAATTTAGGGAATTGGGACAGCACGACTTTGTTCTGCTCTGACAAAGCTATATGGAAGGCATCATTTTATTTTTTTCACCAGGAAAGGAATATGTTGTAAATGTATGAAAATGTTCTATTTTTCATCTCTTAGCATTGAGAATGAGACATTGTTGAGTGGAAGTGATGTATATTTTTGTTTTATTACAGTAATGAATATATTTGATTCCTTTCCCGTGGATGTTGGTCTGCATGACCAAACTAGGTTAAATCCTTTCTCTTTATTGGTTTATTTAATTTGTTTTATTTAGTCACTGTAAATCGAAATTTATTTGATGGATATCTTAATTTCTTATACTTTGTAAATGTTCTCATTCAATGTATATCACTGTTGTACTAATAAAACGAGTCATTTACAAATAAAGATTTTGTTACACCTGAAATGTTATTTCCTCTTTTGTTGCACTTAGAAGAAGATGAGCTCACGGATTTCCGGAACATCCCGACGAACACTCTGTCACTGTGGCCTCGAACCCTCACTTCTAATGTCACGCCGAACAGTGCAGGTTCTTCTGTTGAGCAGACGGTTTGATTGATTCCCAAGATGATGTTGATCGAGAATGGAGAACATCTTTTGAGCAAAGTCTGGCACGGGAGCTACATCGTGTTAATGTTAAGAATAATATAATTATCTTACTAATTGTCATTGTAATAGTTTTAGAGTTTTTTTTTTTGCTCTCCTGATGCTATCGGTTATTTGAGATGTGTTTATGTAATTTTGCATTGTTATCGTTGAAGTTTGGGATTAACGGTAGTCATGTATCGCCTGAAATCTGTTGTTATGTAAACGATGAATTTTTGTTGTGATATATAGCAGAAATGGGTACTACAACTCGCAGTTTATTTTTTTTAGCAACATTTATGTTTACATATCAATGACATAAATGAAAAATTAATGTATTTGTGTTTGAGCATCAAAGATTGATATTCATAACTTTTAACATTTATATGTTATAAAAGTTATGAATGATCTTGAGAAAAAAAATTAGGCACACATCCCTTTAATTGGCTTTCTTTAATTACCATCGATATTTGATAAAAAATAGTTAAATTGACTAGTTTATTTATAATATGTTAAATCCTATGTGGAAATATTTAAAACAATCGTGTCATCGAATATAACAGCATTCCTATAACAAGTCTTTTATTTCATATGCTCATATATCTAACAAGTTAATATTTTAAAATATATTAAACAATCCTATAAATTAATTAAATAACAATTAATAACTAATTACCCAATAATTAGATTTATTACATAATTAACACGTTGAAGTTTTACTAATTTATTACATAATAAATTTTGCTTTTGGAGTTTCAAAAATTTCACTGTTACAGTCATCTTTTAAACAGTTTTACTAAAGAATAACAAAATTATCATTTTTCCAGAAACTGCTGCTCTGCAGTTATTTTTACACAGCTGTACTAAGCAGACAGTCAGCTTCCCCGCAGCAACTTTCTGGGGCAGCGCAGCTGTAGCTGAAAAGCTGAAAACCTGCAGCTGTGTCAAACAGACCCTTAATGTTCAAATTGTAGAAAATTTATATCACTATTATCTATTTATAAATTCTAAAAATAGGTATTTTGACCCTAATCCAAAATTCTACCAAAACATTTTTAATTTTTATAACAATGGATACAGTAGACACACACATGCCTAAAAAAAAGTAATCAAGAAATTCCACCTTACATGGGATTCGATTGACCTAACTAAACTATCACTTTGTTGAAAGGCAAGTCAATAACCAACATAGTGGTCAATTAGTGATGGATGAGGGATGTAAGTATAGAAGACTTTGATTATCAAATGGATTACAACATTCTAAAATTTTCAATATCATAAATCTAGTAATGTTGATGGATCAAAATTTCAATGGATGAATTTTTTGGAATAATAACTATAAGCCTTAAGGCAGTAAATAAGGCCAGATAGGCGATATAAAATTGAAGAAAAATATAGTGCAATCTTTATAGTGATCGTCACATTAAACATCAACCATTTGATAATCCGATTAGGAGAGTAGGTGTTTTAGATTCGACTTATGTTAAGAAAAGCAGAGGTAGACGTAGGAAGACTTGGGCTTATTGCATAAAACATGATATTAATTTATTAGAACTAAATAAAAATATGACACTAAATATGACGCAATGAAGAAAAAGATTCACGTAGCTGACCCCACGTAGTGGGATTAACGTTTTGTTATTGTTGTAATCTTTGTAGTGTTTTACTTATCTTTTTGGAGAGAAATGAAAGTCATAAAACACATTTCAATCAAAGTTTAATAAGTTTTATAATAATTTTAAAAGACTAAATTGATGAGTCCATTCAAAATGGCAATAATATGCCACCATTTCAAGGTAAATATTTGTCTCCCAAGATCAATTCAAAATTGTAATTACATATTGAATCAATAATCTATGTAGATCACAAAATTTAATGGATTGAGACGCAACTTTGCGTCCGGAGTCCGAATGCAACATTCTTTCGTGAAAGGGATCTTTTAGGCTTTTCCCATGTGTAACTTCGGTTTTCAATGAATAAAATGGGTCGTAGAGTCCCGGGAGAGCCTCATTTCCCCCTAGCCGAGGGAAGTCTTCCGATTACTCCTCTCTCTCTCTCTCTCCCTCCTTTGGATTTCTCC